TCTTAAAACCTAGCAAGGCACATATATATTTATGTATGTAATCTGAGCAAATTTCTTAAATTAGCACCCATATTTTCATTCGATAAGGCAAACAAGATATGTTTCAACTTAACTCTAATAGACTCTTGGCTTCGAACGCTAACAAAAACAAAGGTGGCGACGATCCTACCTAACAGCGTGCGTCTGTTTCACCGTTTCGTTCCTCATCCTCAGCTCCTCGGCCTGTTTCAGCCACTTCTGAATCTGCCTCCGGTGAATGTTGTACTTGGACGCGACCGCCCTCTGGTTTCCCTTGCATACGGAGTCCTGGTAATAACAGTCAATGGCGCTCAGCTTGAAGTCCAGGCTGTACCTCTGCCTCTGCCTGAGCGGGGCCATGCCCTGGCCCCCGCAGGCCTCCTCGAAGCAGCAGGTCCCACAGTCGTACTCCGCCGCGAAAGGCGGGTAGTAATAGTAATTGACGGGCGAATTCGGCTGCAGCTCGTGCAAGGTGTAGGAGCCGCCGTACTCGGACTTAACGTCGTTGTTGTTGTCGTAGCAGAAGGCGTCGCAGGGGGTCTGAACGAGGGAGCAGCAAGGGGGCTCCAGTTTGGTCAACTCGGGCTCCTTCAGGTCGTCCAGGTACGGCTTGAACAGCTTGACGGGCTTCGGAGAGGTGACCGGGCTGGGACACTCCCTCTTGAAGCTCTTCGTCGACAGGTCCCACACGTCGGGCTGAGGTCGGGGCGGCGAGGGGGCCGCCGGGGGGAGCAGCGGCGCGTAGCACACAGGTGCGCTAGCGGGCAGCGAAGTAGGTCTTTTGAAAGACAAATCCATAGGCACGGGCGGGGAGAGAGGGGATTCCGGCCTGGCGACGATCGGGCTAGCGTGACCGCGGCTGTGCGTCGTGAAGTCGAGGGGCAGCGGGGAGGCGAACTGGACCGCCGCAGGGCTCTGCGTTAGCGCCGGAACCCGGGCCTCGTCGTCCCGCTGTCTGTTGACGTTCAAGGTCACCTCCAAGTCGCACGCTTTTCTCTCGCACTCGGACTTTTCCTTGGCCCCGATCACGGCATTGCGAAGGGTGTTTTCCACCTGCAACCACTTCTGGATCTGGCGGCGGTGGATGCCGTACTTCCTGGCAGTAGCTCTCTGGTTACCTTTGCAGTCCGCGTCGTTTCTATAGGAATCGAGCACTTGCAACTTGAAATGCGGGGCGAAAATGCGACGTGACCCGACACCTTTGCTCTCGCTTTTGCAGTTCACGCTGGCTACACCTCGTTTCAGCACCGAATTCAGTCCGTGAGCCATTTCGAACCGTTTCCGACACTCGTGCACTTTTTAAAACAAAATAATCCGTCGAAAGACAACGAAAATAACGCCGAGAAGTCTATCTGCCAGCTATGTAGCAACCATTTTTCGTCACGATTCAGAGAAAACCCCCACTCTGCTGACTAAACTGTATACTCACGCCATCGAGAGGGATTCGAAGTGGATTTCGCGAAGGAATCAAAGAAGCGTCTTCTCTCTCTCGCACGTCGGACTTGACTAGACGGAATGGCGCCAGGAAGGGAGAGTATTTCGAGACTTGATTCGGCGGTGGAGCGGCTTCGACATCCGTTTGTGAAACAAGTTTACCGACGGCGTTGCCGGTGGAAAATAGTTTTCGCCTACTTTTCCAAACCGCAAAAAACACATCAAACCACCATAATACTCTTTCTAAACTCTTCTCCTTCAAATTTTTATAACTGTTAAACTTCAAAAAACGCGAATTGAACTAATTATCTTCTTGTTTCAACAAAGGAATGTGGGGAGCTGGCAACACAGCGCGTGGTCACACCAGACATTCTGTCGCCAAGCCTGCTAGGCCAGACAACGCGTCTCTGATTCCCTTTCTTTTCATTCATTAGCAAACAGAACAGATGGCTTTGGGTGTTTTTATTGCTTTAACACTGTTTATGCGGATTTTTTCGACCCTCTCGTTGAAATTATTCCATTGTATCGTTTTTATGAGGTGGAATTTGAATGGTTTTATCTGCGTTATACCTACCATTGTCATGTTGCGTAACTTTAAAATGACGGCGTTTGGCTTTGTTCCGAGCATTAATTTTTGGGCCTTTTAAGTTTGCCCTCATTTTCGCTTGAGTGTAAGAGTTCTTGTAGTAGGTTGATAGATATTCACCTAACAGGTGTTTGTTGAATTTATAGTTTCGACTACAGATTTGACCTGATTGAAGCTTATTGAAAAAGACAAAGAACTTGCTGCTAAGTTTGTCTACGGATTGAATTATTGAATCTACCTACCTTCATTACTACCTAGGTGCCTACCTACATTTTAATAAAAATATTAGGAAAGGCAATAAATGAACAAATAGATGTTGATAAACAGTTATTGTGACTGTCAAGACTCAGGACTACAAGTCAATGATTGGAACACATTCTTTGTTTTTTTAAGCTAAATTCATATGTGAGGAGTGGATATTCCTATTATCTCTATAAAATAATTACCACTCTATAGAGCTCATAAGATATAATTTTGATATCTCGATATACAGGGTGTGCGTGCGTGTTACTTATATCGAGTTTCCGTTTGAGGTGAAATAATTAAGTCGTATCTATACCTATCTATACAAGTTTAGAATAACAAAGCAGTTAACTTTTCACAACTTTTATTTAACTTCCTCTATTTTCAATTATTCATCGGTTACAGGGTTTTGAGCAAAAACGTGGTACCTATATGTATGATATGGATAAATATCATACATTGCTTTTCGATTTCAGATTCCTTCAGACATGTATATATTGTACAATATGCATTCCATTTTAAACGAACCACCCTGAATAACTTTTGGTACAATGATTTTCAGGAAAAATAAAAAACACAACAATAGTATACAGGTGGACACATTTTGACATCTTCACATTTGATGTTACTTCCTCTATCGCACCCTCAGAGCATGTCACCTATTTTTTTTTAATGGATCACCCTATATAGTTTCACATTATCAGATGCCTCATGATGAGTAGATTTCAACAAAGTATAAAACATAATGGTCTGAAGCTTATGGTTCGGGAGCTACAAATTATTTGAGTTGAAAACGAGCCATCCTGAATAACTTAAAAAAAATGATTTGCAGGAAAAATAAAAAAACAGGTCAACAATTATACAAGAGCCATATTTTGAAATATTCGTTCTTAAGACAAATATGGTAGCAATAAATTAGAAAAAGAGATTTTTCATTAATTCTTGAATCAAAATCTGATGACTGGACAATGAGAGAAAAAAAACTTTTTATATTATATGTTTAAAAACGTTTTCACCAACTTCCACACAATGGTACAAACAAGCTTCCATTGCCGTCCTCACATAGTTGAAAATCTCGGGAGTTATTTCTCTGCAATGCCGCATAATATTCTTTCTCAAATCTTCTAATGTTGTTGATTCTGTCTCATACACTTTAGACTTCAAATGACCCCATTGGAAGAAATCTACAGGAGTGAGATCCGGAGACCTTGGTGGCCATTCTGTAGGACCTCTTCTGCCAATCCAGCGACCAGGAAAATGATCGTCCAAAAATTGTCGCACTGGAGCTGCATAATGAGGAGGTGTACCATCCTGCTGAAAAACTATTTCGTTTTCGAATACATTTAAATCCTCCTCAATTACCCTATTGATGCACGATATTATTCGATTCTCCAACATATCCAAATAGTTATCACTAGTCAAAATCGATAAAAAAGGTCCTATGATCAGTCACCTAAAATTCCTGCCCAAACATTTACTTTTTGAGGTCGTTGGGTATGAACTTGACGGTATAAATGAGGATTCATATCATTCCAATATCGACAATTTTGACGATTCACCTCTCCATTCAAACTAAACGTACATTCATCCGAAAATTTTATATAAGAAATTGTGATGCAAAAGTTGATCCGTTCAGTGAGGCTTTTACAAAACTCGATACGTCTATATCGCAATAATCTTCGTTCAATTCATGAACTAGTCTAATCTTATATGGATGAAATTTATACTTATGAAGGATACTGAAAACATTTGTACGACTGATTCCTGATTCCCGAGATAACTCAGTGAGAGATTGCGAATTTTCCATTAGTACAACGTGCCCTAAAACTGCAGCACAAATAGCTTCATCGTTGACAACTCTCGAACGGTTATGCTTTTTATTGTTAACAGATCCAGTTTCCATAAATTTGTTAAATAATTTCGAAACGCATTTGTGTCGTACATTTCTTATTCCTGGATGATTATCATTGAACATATCGAATTCATACTTAACTAGGCAACTTTTTTGAAGTATACTTCACAAAAACACCTATGAAACCTAGGTAACAGGTTCAGGGTGGTTCAGGTTCAGTTCATTCAGGATGGCCATAGAAATTCTTCCCTATTCTTCTGATTGTGTGACCATCTGTACAACCAAAATTACAAATGTATAAACATAAAAAATATGATATATTGAAGAGAAAATCTTTATCAATACATATATGTTTGTTACCGAGGCCATATATCTTCTTTGAAAACAAATACATCTTGTCTTGTCATTGTTGTTGTTTATGTATAACTTATGAATCACTGTAAAGTTGTCAGAATATCAAATTATTGTAAACTTGTCAAAACTATTTTTTCAAAAACTATCTTGTTTTTTACAATAACAAAATACACTTCAAAATCTTAAAATATAAAATGAATATCTAATATAGTGTGTTCAACACTGAACAGTTGTCTTGTCCACAGTCCCAATTAAGATGTCTATACACTGGTGACTTGTCATTGCGCTTTTGATTTGAAAATTTTTGTGAATCAAGTGAGATAGTTTTGACGTTACCGTAAGATGATGCCATTAACGCACCCAGGAGAGCAATCGGGATGCAGCCTGATTGTTCTCCTGGACATTTTTCCTAGAGGTTTGCATCGCACACCACCATCCTTTAATAAGAAGAGGAGTCTAATAAATCTGTCAGCTGAGGCCATAAACTTGAAAATAACTGGAAGTAGAATAAAATTGTCAAATGTTTGTCAACACGTGCGGGGTTGGAAGTAGTTACAGGTTATAGGGTTTTATTAACGTATATATATTATTTTGATTACTGAAGAACTATGTCTGTTCCGGAAAAAGTTCTTATGCGAAAAATTAAAAATCGTGAAAAACAGAAGTTGAAACTAGTTAAGAAAAAGGAGGAGGAAAAAAAGCTAAAAGGTTAGTAAAACAAACTAAAAGTAGACAAATCTATCAAAATTCTCATTGTTGCAGAATCTGAAGAGATCCTAGGAAAAGGTGTTAAGAGAAGTCAGGAACATGATGACGAGGGCCCATCTAAAAGTGAGACATTTAAATGCATACGTTTTTATTAGTTGAATTGAATCAAATAAAATTTTGTCAGTGTCTGAAGTTAATCCTCAATTACTGTTCTGGCGTTGAGTGATCAGTATCCTACTCTACATAAAAGAAAACTTCACATTTTTTTTCCTATATTGATTTACTTTCAAAATCGAAATATCCTTTAGCCTATAATAAACTTTCTACAAAAAGGCTAGGAGCTAGATGACACATTAAATTATACAATCAAGTTAGTAAAATCAGTTTTGTTGTTGTATTAGCATTTACAATTTTTATTGATGTTTTCCATTTGAAAATTTGAACCACATCAAAAATACTGCAACTACTGCTATAATATCAGGTATTTTTCAGAAAAAAATAAATCAAAGAAGAAAAAGAAAGAACTCGATTTGGAAAAAGTCTCCGTGAACGATTCTGATGGAGAACAGCCTCAAATTGAATCAGACGTATCGTTGGAAAACCAAAATGCTGAAACCAGCGAAACAGATCTTCAAGATGGGTGTGAGTATTTCATTAAAACATTTTAACAAATTTTCAATTTAAATTCCTGGTAATATAGTGTTTTTTTACCTTTAATCCCTGTGAGAGACTTAAAACGTAAATTTAAATTTTCTGAAAACCTTGTGCCTTTGCAATGTCGCAATTTTTCTCTTTAATTAACACATTTCTTTGACAGTTGTTTTCTGTTTTGAGCATGCATGCTTATCTATACTTTGGAATTGAATTATCCAGAACAGATTTTTTTTTAACAGATATATCCATCTATTACCTACAAATTCTCACAACCTCCAATTTTTAATGTGTTTATCAGAGATTACAACTTTCTGCAATGTTTTTGATTCATTGGTTGGGCTATTTTGAACACAACTCAGTTTATTCAGTTGTAAGTTTTTAGCAAGTCCATACAAAACTAATATTTATTATCTATCAGCTTCTGAAATAACTACGATGTCCGAAGTAGTATCTCAACATGTCCAAAAAGTAAAGTGTTGGATCGTTGAGGAGGAGTGATTCGCTTTTTATAACACAATGTTTATACGTTAATTTAATAAAATTTCACGTTAATTGATTGAGGATCAAAAAAATTCAAAGCAGACAGCCTTCAATGACTGGAATATCAATAGCGTTACCACTTCTGTTTTTTAAATTTTTGTACTGGATAATCTCTTCAATTAGCCAATGTTTGTATAATATTTCTTTTCATAATAATGACTACATGACTTATTACATGATGACACAAAGGCGAATACAAATCTCCTCGAATTATTATATTCTTGAGTTGAGAATAATGAGTACACAATTTTTCTGAAAGGTATTACACAAAAAACTAATTGAAGCATTCATACATTGTTTCAATACTCAATAGAATCTGTTTTCTAGTACCAGGATCAAAGTCTGCATTAGAAATTCTAAGCAGTTCCACATTTGAGTCACTCAAAGATACAGTTTGTGAAAATACGTTAAAAGCTATTGAAGACATGGGCTTCAAGACACTGACAGAAATACAAGCGAGATCCATACCTCCACTGTTGGAAGGTAGAGATTTAGTTGGAGCTGCAAAAACTGGCTCAGGAAAAACGCTTGCCTTTCTCATTCCAGCCATAGATTTGATCTACAAACTGAAATTCATGCCTCGAAACGGTAAGACCTTTGTCCCAGTACAGGTTTAGTTATTAATATTTTCTTTCAATTAAAGGTACGGGTGTTATCATAATTTCCCCTACACGAGAGTTATCGATGCAAACGTTCGGAGTCCTCAAGGAACTGATGAAGTACCACCATCACACATATGGTTTGGTCATGGGGGGCACAGCTAGACAAACCGAGGCGCAAAAGCTCTCAAAAGGTATCAATATTCTGGTTGCTACTCCTGGTAGGCTACTGGATCATTTGCAGAACACTCCGGATTTCCTGTATAAAAATTTACAATGTTTGATAATTGACGAAGCAGATCGTATATTGGAAGTAGGTTTTGAAGAGGAAATGAAACAGATAATTAATCTTTTACCAAGTAAGTAGATAAACGTTATATACAAAGGAGTATTGATTTGAAATTTCATTTAGATGGCAATCTATCATAATAAAAAAAACTTTTTTTCCAAAAACCAATATCTCCTAAAAATATCCCTTTTTCAATATATAGTTGTTTTAGAACAATGTAAATTATTCGTATAAATTCTTCCCTCGAATAAGTTATTACTGCAAAAGTGAGTTCAACTGAAAAATAAACAAGCTAAATATTATGAATGGGCGAGATTCAACTGTGAAAGCTGTTCTTTTAACACGGCCTTTAAAAACTTTCAGAATAAACGGAAAAATACAACGTAACACATTGAATACAAATAAATGAGTTATATTATTATAACAAAGAATAATACAGTACATTGGAAAACTTTGTTTTAAAGTTGATCTCGTTGAAATAAAGGGTATACTATTCAACTGTCTTATATGAAAAGGTACTAGCTGAATTGTGTTTAGATATACGAGCTATGTTCAGAAAATTATGGAAATTTTCGTTCCTAGAAAAAATATTCATTCATTCGTATTCATTAATGTTATCACCTTCAAAATAATCCCCTCAACACTTTCCAAACTCGATCTTTGGGATAACTTCAGATCTTTCAGCGATGCCCTTTTAATGTCATCTATGCTTGCAAAATGACGGCCTTCAAAGTTCTCTTTATTTTTGAGAATAGGAAAAGTCACACGGTGCCATATCTGGTGAATATGGAAGCTGGGGCATCGTTACAGTATTGTTTTTGACCAAAAGTTCAAGAACAAGCAATATGAAATGTGAGCAGGTGCATTATCGTAGTGCAAAAGCAATGAATTATTTGTCCACAAATACAGTAGTGTTTTTTTATTGCTTCAGGCCATCTGCGTTGAACTTGTAGGTGGTACTCTTTATTAACCGTTTTTTGGTCTTGGCACACCAGAATGCGTATACTGGGGCAATTGGACCTTAGTTTTACAATAATATGCATAAACTCATGTTTCGTCACCTGATATAACATGTTTCAGTAAACTTGCATCTTTGTTGATTCCTGAGCAACTTCCATTCGCCGATTTTTTGTTCAAAATTCAATTTTTTTTTAAATTATTCAACGGGACAAAGCCAATACAGAACATAAATAATTATAGACTGTGCCAATTAGGTATAGATAACAAATATAGCAATAATTTTGAGACGATGAAACATATCTGGTTATGCATTTCACGAGTGATAAGATAAATTAGTATGAGGTTCGTTCCAACCAGCGTCAGAAACAGTTTCTGACAGTCAGGATTCTGCGCAGTAATGTGATTGCGTTCCAACGTGAGTTTCCAACCATTAGTAAACTATCAGTTTTCTGTTCCATCCAAGATTCAAACCTGTTTGAAATCTATCAGAATGGTTTGAGGATTATCTTCTAACCATCAAACTGACGCATGCGTATTCCGTTAATCAGAAACCAATATTTACCAGACATGCGCGTTGTCAACGATTTACAAACAGTTGGAAATCTGTTTGTGACTCAAGGTTGGAACGAACCTATGATTAGCACATTAGCAATTAACTTAAATTAGCATTATTAAATTATAAGAAATAAAATGAAACAAAATAAAATATGTCATCAGTGTAGAATTTTGTATGATATCAAGGTCAAAAAGTAGTGGTCCTAATGGAACTATGACACTTTGACATGGTTCGGATTAATGATTATCTGAAGCAGATACCAAGCTCTGAGGTAGACAAATATGTGGTATCGAAACCATTGCTGTAATCAAGCAAAATGGAACGAGTGATTTTTTTTCATATCAATCTTTTTCAGGGCAAACAAAAACAAACTAAACGTACGACCACCTTTTTCCAATTCTGCAATGCGGAAACGGGGATCCTTCTCTGTACGGACGTTGCTGCTAGAGGGTTGGACATCCCTGCCGTAGACTGGATTGTTCAATACGACCCTCCAGATGATCCCAAGGAGTACATTCACCGAGTCGGAAGAACGGCCAGAGGCGAGGGGAGCAGCGGGCACGCTCTTTTGATCCTCAGGCCTGAAGAGCTTGGATTTTTGAGGTATCTGAAGCAAGCTAAAGTGCCCCTGAACGAGTTTGAGTTTAGTTGGAGCAAAATATCTGATATCCAGGCACAGGTGAGTAATAGAATTTATTGTGTCCCTGAGAATGTTAATTCCCTCTAATGGAAAATAGGCAGCAAAAGATTTCTCGGTTCTCCCTGACAAAATTATCATTTACCGTGAAAAACAGAAATAAATATGAGTTCTCAACGTTTTTTAGTGAATATTGTTTGGAAACTCTAGCTCTAATGAAATATCAATATGCACTGGTTTTTTGTGTAGGTTATGAAAGCAATTGTGAACAATTAGGAGATGAAAAAAATATTTTATTTATTCATTTATTTATTTAACGCAATGCCTGTTTTTTACAAGTTCACACATATGTATTTAACAGTAATCTAAGCTAGGTTTAAGGAAAAAATATATAAAATGAAAAAAAAATCGTAAAATTAAGTTAAAAAATTCTAAATCTACATTGTATGTATTTGCGAGATTCAAAATTCTACCTACAGATTTATTCCGGCCATAGTTGGTGCGACAAAATGGTACTTTGAAGATATCCGAATTTCTTGTTCTCCTTGGATTCACATTCAACGTTAGAAGTTCGATTGATTATTTTATTAATTAGTGTAAGATCTGATTCTAATCTTCTATGAGCCAGAGTATTCAAGTTAAGAATGTCCAATATAACTTTATAGTCATATTTACCAATATGATATCCCAGTTTATATGCAGAGTACATTAAAAACTTATTTTGAACACTTTCAAACATATCAATATCCACATGATATGAAGGGCACCAAATTATGGAATTCGATTATTGATCTAACAATTGAACAATATATGATTTTTATTGGAGTGAGAGATAATTCATTTGCAGATCTAAGAATGAAACCTAACATTTTTAGTGCTTTAGAAGTAATATTTTCAGTTCTGGTTGATTGATCTTATATGGCCGGTTAATGGGATTTTTGTTTCGGAAGAAAGTAAATTTTTGACATTCGTCTATATTCAATTGCAGTAGATTTATATCAAACCAGCGAACAAAGTTATATAAATCGTACTGTAATAATTCTGTATCAGTTGAGTCATGAGTAACTTTAAACATCTTCAGGTCATCGGCAAACAAAAGAAATTCACTATAATCTTGGTATATTTTTTAGTGAAATATTTCAGATTCATCTTTTTCATTCCAGCTGGAACAACTCATCGGGAAGAATTACTTTTTGAACATGTCTGCGAAAGAGGCTTTCAAAGCTTATACGAGGGCCTACGATTCTCACCATTTGAAAACGATATTCGACATAAGCACTCTGGACCTGGCTAAGGTAGCCCTGTCTTTTGGATTCAAGGTGCCGCCAGCTGTAGATTTGAAAGTTTCTGTGAAAAAGGGCGAGCGCCCCGAGAAACGAACAGGAGGGGGAGGATTCGGCTATTACAAGAATATGAACTCGGTGGATTCCAAAACCTTTAGGAAGAATACAGTGTATAGACAGATACAGAAGAAGAGGCCCAACGGGGAGAGGAGACAGTTCGCCAGATGATGTTTCTATTGTTGTTTTCTTATAAGAATAAATTGTATATTCTTTTTTTAGTTTTTGATTTAATTTTCTCTTCTTTCCTATGGAACTATTGATTTTGAAAAATGAGAATTAAAACTTCTTATGTTTTTATACCACTTTGTATTTTCCCCTTCAAAACAAATATTTTAAATTTTACTGTGCCTTTTGAAAAGTCCAGTCAAGGTGCATAACATTTTCCTGATGTGATCATTTGTGCTCCTTCCCCACTCTTGATAATGAAATAATGAAGAGATCCTACAAGTTTCAGCCTCCCATTCACAGAGGCGTTGTATTGATATCAAGCCATTGTCTAAGCTAAGGAACATGGGATTGGATCAGAGGACAAATGGTCTAGGAAGAAATACTATGGTATAAGGCTGATATGGGAGTTATTTAAATTGACCGAACTGGTTGCAAAATTAATTTATTGAGGAGGTATTTTCAGATTTTGTTTATTTCTATTTGTTGTGTTTTATATGGAATAAAATTGATTCCCATTTTTCTAGAAAAACTGAGCAGCGAAAGCATTAGGCTTATTCAGAAACACTTTATAGCATTGCAGATTTTCAACTTTTCGAACCTTTATAAAAACAGGAAATGTGACAGAAAAATGTGGGTTATTATAAATAATAGTATAACTGAATCAAATTATTAAGAGTTGACATAATCATGCATTGCAGCAACTCTGAGATAAACGAAAACCGAACTATAAATTAATTATTGGAAAACATCTTCAACAGGAATGGGATGTTTTATCCCCATTCGAACAACTCTCAAAAGTCAAAACTTGTGAGATGAGGATTAAAGAGATCTTACCTTTTAACGTGCGATTCATATCACAGATACTTGATTTATAATGATATTTGATGAAAATCTATTATAAACCTGTTTAATAATACAATTATGAAATTTTCACAAATAAAACCTATTTCACAATACAAAAGCTCCTTCAGACATGTCCGATTAGACAGGTAAAATCACAGCAAAACGTGTTAGAAGTTGTTAGTTATGTGATAATTTATTTTTGAAGAGATTACTCGTAGGATCCTCTACATCGAATTTGGAATTTGCATATCACCATGCGAAATATTTTGATAGTGTTGAAACTACTTTTTCTTGAATATTTACTCATCTTTTTCATTGTAGGGACTGAAATTTTGAAAAATCATGTTGCGCCATCGCACGGACAGAAGCTGAAGTAATGTAACATTTCTTGTTCTTACTTCTTTCATTAGACATACCTCGTCATCTCTTGAAGAGAAGCTGAACTAAACCATTTACTGTCTTTACTTCTATGAGCTTTATCATTGTCTGATTTATATCATTATCTTTGTATATATACAAACAGGGTTATTTTCTAAGTAGTTAAATGATCAAGCAAAACATTTTTCCCATTATCGTTTGTGAATTAAAGATCAGGATGAAATACGAATGACGGATTTCTGTTCTTGCGCCATCTATCAACAGGTGTACAAAGTTGGGTTGAGCTCATTTCTGGCATCGAGAGTTTTTGGCAAAACAAAAGGGTTTCTATACACCTTTGGCGCAGCCCATTATATTTCATTTGCAGTTTTCTTTTTATTTAATTAGAATCGTGAACCATCAATCAACTATCTGCCTACAGGTGGATATAGTACCTATTTTGATTCTTGGCCAGGTCCAAATTAAAATTTACATTTGGGTAAAATCAAACTAAAATAATAATGGCGTCAGAGAAAATCACCCTCCAAAAGAGTAAATCTGAAACTTCCGGCGTAGAATATATCCAAAAATGCTGGTTTTGGAGATGCAACGTTATTTGACTACCGACAAGAGGCAAAAAATAAGTAATCAAAAACTTGAATATACCGAAGTGTTACGCAAAGGTTGCACATAAATCATTAAAAATGTCTTGAATTTATGATAATGGTATCCTCGAAGTGACATCTCACGTTTATTTATGTTCATGCCTACCCGCGTTCACCTATTTAGAAAGTTCAACAGTGTGATCACACCTTTGCACTGAATCTGTGGGTAGATCGAGCATTTAAAAGAAAACGGTAGTAATTAATCATATTTTAACAGTTCAACTAACTACGTATTTTTTCTTAATTCTTCTTAATTCTTTGGGTTTGGTTTAAAATTAAATGTTTTCAAACTTTCTAAGTGCAAATTATAATCAGCGGCTGTAGACAGCAATCTCCTAGCATGTACACTTGTCACTCGGTACAATAGAGGTTATCACGTTGCATTAACTTCAAATTTATTTAGTATATATAATCATTGTTAATGGAATAAAAACTAACCTGTAACTTAACCTAGTCGAAGTTAGATTCAAATAGTGCAACTAAATTTAAACCAAACCCATCAATTTATTACTTTGAAAATTTATATGATGAAAAAGCTTGATGCAAGATTTATCTGTGTGGGAATATAGTAATATGTAACTTGAATTTGACAAAATTATTTCTAAAAAAAAATTACGAGTGAGTCTGTTTCATTTAACCATGTTACGTTTATGCAATAAAAGGGATGTATTAAAATAATACATTAAAAATATTATTTGAAAATAATTATTGGCTGACCAAATAATCATTTGATGCTGAAAAATGATATATTATGAGTATTTTGATAAACTTGCTTGTAGAAACTCGAGGGAAAACTTTTTGATGACTGTTTTGAATTCATTGAATTCCATTTTCACAGATTTATCGAGAATATTATACAAATTTAGGTTCAGAGAATTTTTGTTGCTAACAACTAGTTTGTGCCGTTGGGGGGTCAACAGATATGCAGATATTGCGTTATATTGATGTTTATAGGAGTATTTCTTGATTTTGTTTGTTTTTGTGTATCTCTAGCTAAACGATGTGTATGTATAATGAAGGCACCGGCTTGATACTAAACTGAATAAAGTGTTGTAAGTGTAAAGTATATAATGTACGTGGCCGGACCAGTTTACCCGATCGTCGATGATTTGACTAAGAAAAGATACATTATGATTTTTCTGATGAAATGATTTTGAGGAAACAATTAAGTTCTGTGTTTTACTTTCATTCAATTTGAGTCTATTCTGTGTGAACCAGCTTTCGACAAGTTTTTTGTTCTCGTCATCATCAAATCATCCGATTTCACAAGAGTGGTGTCATCAACAAATATCTAGAATACATTGTGTTGGAGTAATACTTTGAAATAAGCCGTTCATGTAGATAATAAATAAAAAAGGTCCAAGTACTGAATCCTATGGTACTCTATGTTGTATCGGTTTGATAACGTATTTGACATTATTAAAATCAATACCCTGATACCTGTTTTCGCTGGGGAGACTCAAAATGATACCTGTCAAACCATAATGACTTAACTTTTTAATGAGTATCGCATGTGATACGCATAAAGTCAAGGAAGTGTTGATGGAGGTAGCCGTTACTACGTGGTAGGAAATCATAATGAAGAAAAGAGAAATGATACTGTTTGGAAAATGTCCGTATAGGACGAAACTGCAGTAACGTTAGTTACAAATAAAAGTGATAAAAAACATAGAAAGTTTCATTTCTCTTTTCTTCATCAAGGAAGTGTGTTTGCACTTTGCACTGATCAATTCCCTCCACTAGGTATGTCATTCACCATTTTGTAAGCAGCCTGAGTTGTGGATTTGTTTTTAATGAAATAGGTAATTTTAGCGTCAATGTTTTGTATCATATACTATCTGATTACCAACATGGTTTTGTGAACTCTAGATCCACCATCAGTAATTTAGCTGTTTTTGATCAATATTTATGTGAATCGTTAGACCGTAGAGGGCAAGTAGATGTGGTGTACACGGACTTCTCTAAAGCATTCGATAGGGTCGGCCATAAGTTACTAATTTGTAAACTTTCTCGTATGGGGTTCAATGAAATTTATTGTCAACTTTTGGAATCATACCTTAGCGGACGTAATCAATACGTATATTATCGCGGATGTGTATTTAGGAACCAGAGGAGTCCCGCAAGGATCCAATATTGGTCCCTTATTGTTTTTACTATTTATTAATGATCTGTGCAACTCAATAACTTGCAATAAATCAATGTTTGCTTATGATTTGAAACTGTATACATCTATAAACAGTTTAGATGATTGTAACATTATGCAAAAGGAGATTGATCTTTTACAAAATTGGTCTCAAGAATCGCCTCCATTTGAATATATCTAAATGTAGAATTGTTACATTCAGTAGAAAACTTAATACACTAGAATTTCGTTAGCACATCGACAACATTATATTGGAAAGAGCTGAGAATATTAGGGATCTAGGAATCTATTTTGATCATCAACTAACTTTCAACTACCATATTAATCTAATATATAAAAATGGATGTTTGTTGGTTGGTTGGTTGGTTAGTGATAAATTTCTACATCGCTCAACCGATCGTGATGAAACTTGACATGCATAAGTAATTTTTCATAGAGAAGGTTTTTATGCTATCAATTTTTCTGTAACTCGCCACTAGATGGCGTTGTAGAACAATTTTTTGAAAGCGCTGTTCTATAACGCTGCGCACGCCTAAGTTCGTTGATTCTGATTATGTCAAAACATTGGAACAGCAGCGATACAGCAACATAGTACTACTTAGTACTACAACTACCAAATTATACACGGGCGAAGCCGCGGGCAACAACTAGTCATATTATAAATTCAGCTTACCGCGCATACGGTTTTATAATAAGGAACTGCAAAAATTTTCGTAATATGCTAACCTTGACCTCTCTGTATTTCAGTCAGGTGAGGCCAAAACTAGAATTAATATGGGTCCATTATATGGTATCCCATATACCATCAATACACATCAGCAAGAAACTGTGATTACCCTGATCTGCTATGCAGATTTGACTTTGTAGCCTTAGAAAAAAGAAGAAATCAGGCATCTGTTTTATTTCTATATAAGCTATTGAATGGCAAATTGGATTGTCCTGTACTATTATCAGAAATTGATATCTTTGTTCCAAGAATATCTTCTAGGCACATCAATACTTTTTTATGCAAAAGGGCACAAACCAACTTAATGTTGA